CCGAACCCTCGGCGGGAGCGCCGCCGCGCTCCCAAGCGGCACACTGTAGCAGTGCGCCACCGGGCCAGCCCTAGATTGTGGATTTTATCTTGAGGACAAAAGGGAGTCAAATAGTTTTGAATAGGGAATTAACAAAAGCATCACTCTACTTGTAGAGAATGGTAGACCTTTTGAGTTAGGAGGCTCTTGTAATTACAGTGAGAGATGATGGCTGCTTAGACTAGGGTGGCATCAATGGAGACAGAAGAGGGCCAGTTTGAGAGAGATTTAAGAGGGAGAATTGACAGTACTCAGTGCTTGGATGTGTGGTGGAGAGGAAAGAGGTTCAGAGATGACTCCTGGGCTTCAGGTTTGAGGCACTGGTGTGGTGGGATGGAGATCCTGTTTACTGAGATATGAAATTATGGAAGAAGAGCAAATCATGAGTTCAGTTTTGAATATGATAAGTTGAAGTATGCCTTTTCTCTATTATTTATACCTGTTTGAACTCTCGTAAGACTTTTTGATAGCTTGAGATAGAAAGGAAGAGACACATATGCTTCACTTGGTCCTTTGATTAAATCGTACTTTGCCATTTTTCCCTCTCTCCAAACACCTGAGGGATGTGACACCCCGACAATAACTGTCTCACTGTGTTGATAATTCTCAGTGAGGTAGGTTGTGAATCAGTAGAAAAGGCAAATAGAACTGTGTGTATAAAAGTTGGAAAGGTGGGGTAAAGGTGTTTTGATGGAGGGAGGTAGAAATAGGAAAAAGAAAATCATACAGTATTCAAAAGTATCAGTTCTTCGTTGTCAGGGACACCAGTTAAGTAATATTCAAAAAGATTTAAATGAGAGTTAATACTATCTGTTCCTCTATTAAGTTTTGATATTGATAATGTCTGTACCAGAGGTTCTGAAAATGTAGTCCCTCAGCCAGCAGCATCAACATCATCTGGCAGTTTGTTAAAAAATCCAGATTCTTGGCCCTACCCCAAACCTACTCAGAAATTCTGGGCATAGGGCTCAGCAATTTATTTTAATAAGCCCTCCAGGTGATTATGATGTACCCTAAAGTTTGAGTACCTCTGGTCTGGGTTCAGCAAACTTTCTCTGCAAAAGGCCAGATAATAAATATTTTTCACTTTGTGGACCATAGGTCTTTGTGGCAACTGCGTAACTCTGCCCTTGTATTGAGAAAGCAGCTAGACATCATGTAAACAAATGGACATGATAGTGTTTCAATAAAACTTTATTTACAGAAACAGGCAACAAGTTCATTTGGCTCAAGATCTGTGGTTTAGACTCTGGTCTAGACTGTAAACAAAAATGGTAGTTGTTGCCAGGATAAATTGTAACATATTAATGAAAATATAGGAGCTGGAGGTCATCTGAATAGTTTCAAATATTGGTTTATTTTCTTAACCCTTTGGTGGTTGAATTGTTTTCCTTTTCTTCATTTTTTTGTCACCTTACTTTTCTCCACAGGGAAATAGTTCATCTTTATTTTAGTATAAGACGTATATTCTCATTGCTAAAAATTCTAAACATCACAAAATATCAGTAGAAAACAGAAAATAAGTCCCCATTGATCCCACCCCCCTTCACCCAAAGGTAATTACTGTTACAATTTTGATAACTATTTTTCTGAGATGTTTCTGTACATCATTAATATTTATTATTTCACCATCAATTTTTCAACAAATTAATGTGTTTTTAAAAATATTTGATCTAATTATTTACCTTATAAGTGATTTTTCAAATTATGAAAGTATAACTTAGTTTTCTCTCATTTCTTTGAAGGTTGTTTTGGAAACAGAAATAACAAATAAGTCTGCTTTGAAACTTTATGAAAATCTTGGTTTTGTTCGAGATAAGAGGCTGTTCAGATATTATTTAAATGGAGTTGATGCACTGCGACTTAAACTGTGGCTGCGTTGAGAAACTGACACCAAGGAACAACTTTCAACCACGAGGAATCGACCTTTGCATGCATTGCAATTTGTACAGAATTGCTTTGCAGGTGGATTTAGTAGTTTCCATGCAGCTCTTATCTGTCAGTGTCTCATTGAGTGTCGCACAATATTTGTTGCACTTTGGCATGGCACATTTGTTCTGAATTAAAAGAGATTGTTTTAAACTTCAAGAGTTCTTTTGGTACCAACAAGATGTGCCAGTTGATAGCCAAGATTTATTTGTTCATTTGCAAAGTCTGCTGACAATGTTATTTACACAGTGGTCATTTTACCACAGAACCAGTAAGTGGAACATGATTTTTGTTTCTTAAAAAAGCCAATGTGGATTATAAAAGTCTAAGTATACTAACAATTCATACAAAACCTGCCATAGTTTTCTGAAAGGGGTGAGGGAAAAGCTTCAATTTTAGGTTTTATTTTTTCAATATTAAATTTTCCATTCTTGAATATTGGTACCTCATTGATTAGTGAATGAATAAAATGTAGGGGGGGTATGTCTTACAGTGAGTAAAGATAACAATTAATTTGCATCTGCCAGTGCCTGTGTAGATAAGTAAATTTGTCTTTATCCCTAGTTTTTGAATGCATGCTGTCTTTTCCTTTTCTTTAAGACCTTTGCAAGCAAACTTTTGTTTTTATTTAAATTCTAAATTTGATAATAAATTATTTCAGATTTTTATAATTTGGATACTTTTTCCAGGTGAGTGACAGAGTGGTTTACTTTAGAAGTCCCTTTTTTCCTTACAGTAAGAAGTTGAATCTACTTGGAAAATCTTTGAGAAATGGCTCAAAAGGGATGAGAAAAGTTGAAGGAGCCGGGAATTGCTGGGTTTTGGATGCACTTTGTTTTTTAAGAGTGAGGGAATTTTGGGAAAAGAATAGAAAATTAATGTAAATTGGTATGATTTTATTTAATCAAAATTATTGCTAAGCTGTGAAAAACAGCTTTTACAAAACAGCTGTAATTTTTTTTTTCCCACTTGATTTTGATTCACATTGCTTCCATTTCTTAAAATGCTTTACTTTTGGTTCTTGGTCTTGGAAATAAATTTCAAGGTGCGTTTTATCCATTTTAAGCTGCTTTTATTTTCTTTTCACTTGTATGAACAAATTCTTAGGGGATCTTTGCTTTGTTCCTCCAGAAAAACAAAGGAGGAAATGAAAATCTTCTTCGAAATGAGTTCTAAAGTTTTTCTTAACAGCCACCATGTTTATTAGTTACGTTGTGTCTTGGCCAGTCATTGCAATGTAACAAATTTTAAAGTTAATTTTTTTTTTTCAATTGAGTTAGGAAACCTGTGATTGGATAATTTATTTAACTGGAAAACCTAGGTACCCATAAGAAAAAGATTCATCTTCTGTGAAAAATGTTTGTAGTAATCTATGTTGTTGTTTTCTTTTCTTTTCATTTGGATATTCTTTTTTTTCTGCTCTAGGATTTGGTTTGAATTTTATTTTATGGCTGTAATTACTGTATTTTTAAAAACCCTACCTCCATTAACAGTTGGTAAAGGCCCCTTTTCAGGAAAGTTTGCTTTTTTTTTTTTTTTTTTTTAAAGGAAAGCTGCTCCTTGCTCAGTATAGTGTTTTAAAAGTGAACATGGTAACAAATACTTTTAACATAAAGATACACAATTTATATTTGATGAAAATAAAAACTTCCTGCTGGTAGGATCATTCATGATTCCTTATTTTTAAACAAAACTTTTTCTTCCCATTTTATTACTTTTGAAAGTTTAATGGGTAAAATACTGATTATATTAAAAATGTGATGACCACACAGTACTCAGCTTTTCAGCTGACCATTTTGAGTATGTTTTGATCAAACAAAATCAATTAATCAATCAATTTGGACTGCAGCATTTAGAAGAATATGAATCATAGTGATGCTTCTGTTATTATTTTTAATATGAAGAGAACTGAATGTTTTAAAACAGTGTATATTGTCAAATTTTATTTCATCTCTTTATATTTGATTTGCTGGATCATAGGTAATAATTGTAGATAAACATCCATTTGCTTTACTCACTAATGGGTACAGTTGCAAAGTAGATACATACAAAATTATCATTTCAACCATTTTTATGTTTTTGTCAGGTTGTCAATGAAATTGTCTCTACTGACCTTTTCCCTCAGAATTGCTGATTGACTGAACTGATTGGACATATGTAAACATGAGCTTAACTATGTGAACTAAAAAGTCAAATGTTTGCCACATTGTTTGACTGGTGTATGTTGAACATCGGTGTATGCCTTATATACTTAATTGAGTATGCAAAAATTGTTTACTTAAGTAGACTAAAATTTTAAACCTCTGGCATGATAACCCAGCACCAAAATTAAAAGTCTCCATTTAAGTTGAAGTGGCATCAAACATTAATTTACTTTCTGATATTAGGCTTTCAGTTTTCTTATATAAGCTTAGAACAATTCCATATATAATTGATAGAATAGGTTCACTTGGCTAAAACTGAGCAAAATTGGTGCAACTTTCTTTTAATGGGGTGCTGCCTCTTTAAGACTGACTGTACTATCCACTGACACTGGTTTGGCAGTTGGTACTGCTGAACATTTTTATACATGTTACCATGAAGCTATATGTGTTATATTGAAGAAGCTAACGGGTATGCTACCATTTTTGATCTGTGGGCTGATTATAACTTACTTTACATTGGGATGAAACTACTTACTCTAGAGAAGTCCACAGATCAGAAATCAGACAGTAGTTTTTAAAGTTGAAGCCAGCAAAATAAGAAAAAAAAATTACTGTTAAAAAATTGTTTTTCATATTTTCTGCCTCTCTTCCCCAAATTATCCTCCCCACTTGCTCGACAAATCTATGTAAAGGAGTTTGTTTGTCACATGTTTTAACTTTACCTTGCCCTGTGTTATGGTATTGGCTGACATGTATAAGACTGAATGTGTGTATTTATTATGGTGTCTCAAAATCATGAAGTTCATCACTTTCCAGGAGCATAGATAAAATCAAATTGGTAGTGCATCAGAGTTACTTTTCAGTGCACCATGACATCACTAAAATGAGTGCTAAATGTTACAGGGCTTTCAGGTTTGTAAAAACATAACCATAAATTATATTGACGTCAGATATGAGTTGAGTATCTATAAAATATCACATGTATCTCAAAATATTGGACTGCTGTTTGATGACTGGATACTGCTGCATAATTTTCTTCTATTGTCCCGTATCCTTTTGGAGAGAGTGGTTTAATGAGATTTGAAATGTGCAAGCTGTCTAAATAAGATGCAGTCAAATAAAGTATGGTTAAGTTGTGTTTGCAGTTTTCTTTTAGATACAGCTGTGTGCATTTTATGATTGGGTTGTTTTGCTTTTATCTATTAAGAAAAACAATAACAAGCAATCTATTCTCATTTCCTGCCTCCCATCTAAGAATTATTTGGAAGAAGTGATGTACAGTTGTTGTTGCTCTACTTTGTGTTCTGATGAATTTGAAAATCACAACTTGAACTCGGTTTTCCTAAAAGAATTTAAAGGTAGTCAACTCGTATCAGATATCAATACAAATGGTAGCATTTTTGCATGCATCAAACTGAAAGTATTTTTTTATTCCTTGTTCCATAGCAGTTTATTCCTGACAGTTTTTATTTTTATTTATTTATTTATTTATTTTTTTCTTAAAGATGACCGGTAAGGGGATCTCAACCCTTGGCTTGGTGTTGTCAACACCACGCTCAGCCAGTGAGCAAACCGGCCATCCCTATATAGGATCCGAACCCGTGGCCTTGGTGTTATCAGCACCGCACTCTACCGAGTGAGCCACGGGCCGGCCTCTGACAGTTTTTATTTTAATTTACTGGTTTTTGTTTGTACAGTGTCTCCTCATTTTACTGTTTTTCCTCCTTGCTAAGACACCAAAGTAAAATAGAGCAATATCTAAAGGGCTTTTTGCTCCATTTTTGTGAGAAGCTTTAAATAGTAGTTATGTACGCTTTCATATCTCAAGATATTTGGATATTAGTGGGAAAATGAAATCTATTTTAATCGTGTGACTGCTAAATTACTTTTATCATGCATGTCAGTTCTTCACTTTGTTCTTTATATAATGTGAAAATATCTAAGTTCATGTTTTACTTGGGCTTTATGTAGAACTCTAAATACTTCATAAATTCAGTCTAAATAAGCACCAGAAGTTGATACCATTCTTTCATACCTATGAACACATCGGTATTAACCTATAGCTCAGAAGTGTAGTGATATTCTTTTTATAAGCAACTTTTTAAGATAAGAGTTTTCAAAAATCTCATGAACAGATAGCATGGCTACACTTTCTTCAGATCTGTGCTGTGCAATCACACTTTTTATGATGAGCAAAATGTTTTTTGCACTGTTCAGTGTGGTAGTCACTAGTCACATATAGCTACTGAGCCCCTGAAGTATGGCTAGAATAACTGAGGAACTGAAATTTTAATTTTATTTAATTTTAGTCACATGTGGCTAGAGGCTACTATATTGGACAGCATAGCTTTAGATAGTATTTAAGCAGTAATAACCGAGGAAAGCATCTTTTTATATAGGATTTTTAAGATACTATATTGAAATATGATATAGAAGGATCACGATTAAAAGTTGCCTATGAGCAAAAGAGTATAGGTGATGTATTTTTTTTTTTTTTTTTTTTTTTTTTTTTCCGTTCTGGCAAAGGGGCCCCACCCCCC